TACTAATACTAATACTAATACTAATACTAATACTAATACTAATACTAATACTAATACTAATACTAATACTAATACTAATACTAATACTAATACTAATACTAATACTAATACTAATACTAATACTAATACTAATACTAATACTAATACTAATACTAATACTAATACTAATACTAATACTAATACTAATACTAATACTAATACTAATACTTATACTAATACTAATACTAATACTTACTGATATTGATTCAAATACTGATATTGATAGTGATACTGATACTGACATTGATACTGATATTGATACTGATACTGATACTGATGTTGATAGTCATATTGATACTCATAGTAATATTAATATTAATACGAATATTATTACTAATTATGATACTCATACTAATACTGATACTAATATTGTTACTCATACTGATATTGATGCCGATAAAAATAGTAATATTAATACTAATATTATACTAATAATACTGATACTAATACTAATATTGATACTGATACTGATACTGATATTGATACTGATACTAAAATTGATACTAATATTGATTCTCATACTGATATTGATACTGAAACTGATATCGATACTGATACATATACTGGTACTGATACTGGTACTGATATTGATACTAATACTGATACGGATACTTATCCTGATATTAATACTAATATTAGTAATAATACTTACTATTACTAATACTAATATAAATGCTAAAACTAATTTTATTGCTAATGATCTAATGCTAATGATACATATACATATATTGATACTGATATCGATACCGATACCGATACCGATACCGATACCGATACAGATACTGATACTGATACTGATATTGATATTGATACTGATACTGATACCGATACTAATAATGATACTGATACTGGTACTGATAGATATTGTGGTACTGATACTGATACTGATACTTATACTGATACCAATAATAATATTGATACATATACTTATGTTACTACTAATATTTGTACTAATACTAATACTAATACTAATACTAATACTAATACTAATACCAATACTAATACTATTACTAATACTAATATTACTACTAATACTATTATTAATACTATTACTAATACTAATATGTTAATATTGTTAATGTTAATGCTAATAGCAGTGTTCTAAATAGCGGTCGTGGCGGTCGATATATCGGCCGATATATCGGTATCGGTTATAAACCTTTACGATTTTGTTGAGGCGGTTTGGAATATCGGTTTTTTACAGCGAGACGGTTTGCGGCGGTTTTTTGGCGGGTCAAACCGATATATCGGTCAACAAATCGTTTTTTTTTTTTTTTTTTTAATTTAAATTAAAATGAAAATATGTTTTGATTTTTTGTTTTTCTCCAATTCTTTCAACTTCCAAAACCAAACCAAGTACTACCCCGTAATTTATGGTTTGTTGTGTTTATTTTAATTGTTGATGCGAAAGACTTGCGTAGTATTTGTATTTCGTAAGAATCTTTTATTATATTATGATCTTATTATTTTTAAATTTTTGTTATTTATTGAGTAATTAGAATTATATAATAACATATGAATGATAGGATATAATTATGTTTAAATATTCTTTTATATATATTTTGAGTATTTACAAATAATATTTAGAAATATATTACACTAAATTTAAAAACTGATATATTTCCGATTTATCTCCGATAACTCACCGCCGCGCTGATTTATCGTGTGGCGGTCCCTAACCGCCACGTACCCGATAACCGCCTTTTAGAACCTTGGCTAATAGTAATTTTGATGCTAATGTAATCTAGATATGCTAATTATTATGCTAATGCTAATTATGATTGTAATTCTAATATTATCCAAATCCTTATCGTATTCCTAATTCTATTCATAACACTGATCATAGTTCTAATCCTAATCCTAATCATAATCCTATTCCTAACACTAATCATAAGCCTAATAATTTTAATACTAATAATACTAATGTTAATGCTAATGCTAATGTTAATTCTAATTCTAATCTTAATTATAATTCTAATCCCAAACTTAATGCTAATCATAATTCTAATACTAATACATGTCACTAATTATCGTACTAAGCATAATCATAATCTTAATTATAATTCTAATACTAATATTAATTATAATCCTAATATTATATTAATCATAATTATAATTTGAATCCTATTTCTAGTATTAATACTAATACTAATTCAAAGAATTATAATTATAATTATAATTATAATTATAATCAAAAATTCTAATTTTGCAACAATTGTTTTTGCAATGATCTATTATTTAGTATAAAAAAAATAATTCTATTCAATCTCGAACATTTATATCAAATTTCTTATGTGTGGTAGTTGAACCATAAAAAAACACATATTAAATATATTAGAAATTAATATTTAATTATATTATCAAATTGACATTAAAATTATATAAAATATTATAAGGGTATAAGCAAACATTAAGACGTAAAAGAACAATAATCATTGTTAATAAGATAAATTATGAAAATCCTCCTGAACTTAGACTAAATTACAGAAAACACCCCCACTTATCGGTGATTACTAAAATTCCCCTTATGTTTGTCTATGTCTTACACAACCCCCTTATGGTGTGATTTTTGTACGGAATCTTTTTTATTCTATATAATATCCCAAAAAATATGGAGTCTACCCTTGCAGACGGGACATTTCTTTTATCATACTTTTTAAACTTAAAAATTACCCTCAGGGGTGGTCATGGTAATAATACAAAATTGTGAAATTAAAGTGTTATTTAAGAAGAATAAATATTTCGTGTAAAGTTCACCTGAGGGTAATTTTTGTATTTAAAAAGTACCATAAAGAAATGTCGTGTGTGCAGGGTATAATAAGCATTATTGGAATATTTCACGTAATAAAAAAATTCCTTCAAAAATCATACCATAAGCGGTTGATGTAAGAGGGAAACAAACATTAGGTAAATTATTAATATAAACTATATACGGCAAGAGCACTTCGAGTGAGATTATTAAATGAGCTATCAAAACATTTAACCACCATTTTTATTCTCCAAAATAATAATTTTTAATTCCATTAGATTTATGAAATGAGGTATTTTGATATTTCATCTTTCAAATGTAAAAATACATTATGCAATCATGGTGAATAAAATATCAAACATGAGTTATGAATTCAACCACCTCAGTGTCCATTTAGAAAATAACATGTGGCAATTAGATATATTTAATTAACAACGATTTAATACCTATGGTTGGAGCAAATACATTTATATAAATATCAAAATAAAATATTAAATAGCACATAAATATTTGCAAACTCATTTTGATACTTTTGGGTTAGTGTTGATCTAGATATTTCCATAATTATATTTATTAGAGTCATAATGAAATCCTTATTAGTGGAATACAATATATAGTATATACGATCATTATACATTTTAAACAAAACAATTGATATTATTAATGTTAGCCATTAAATAAAAATGAATTTAATACCAAAGATTTAGAATTATTATATTTTGAAATATATAAAATCAATTCGTTTTTTTATCAATTGATTAAACGTAGCTTAGGTCATTCAATTTATTAGTATAATCATGATAAAATTCGTATTTTAATTAGTATATAATTTAAAAAGTTAAATCAATCGTAAAATTTATTGTCACTGGATTCTTCAGTGAAGAAAAAAATAATTATTTAAATAATAACATGAAATTCATGTAGTATAATTTTCAATATGATAAATAAGTGGGAGTACATTACTCTACACATGGCATAACAAATGGCGTCAATTATCGCAAGATAGTAAATTCAAACACATATCTATCTTTTTTTTACAGATAATATTAATATATAATAGTAAATTAGTAAAAAAAATACATATTCTCTAGTCATGTTCATGTAAAATGTATAATATCAAATAATTTATTCTACAATATTTGTTTTAATATAAATCAAAGTTTATGAATTAAAATTAAAAAAATTCGTAACACCACCAATCATCCAATTATAATAAGAGAAGATTTTAAATCGAATTTAACTAAATTAAAATTAAATTATTTATAAAATTAAATTCAAAAATAAATTTATTTAGGGTTTCCAAAAAAGTTGATATATTTAGAGCATTTTATATATGGTAGGATATAAATATATTAATAAAATAATTAAACATATTTAACTATCTTTAATTTTGGAAAATGATGACATGTTTTTTGATGATTTATTTCGACCAACCAATTCGCCACTTGGGATTAAATTGAAGACATGTCATCAATTGAAATTGCCAAATGTCAATCAATTAGCTATGCAATTCAACTTTTATATATTATATAGATTCAATTAGTATATTAATAAAAATAGCTATTAATTTATTAATTTATATCAATGTAACCCACTAACAAGATGAATAAGATGTGCTCGCATGGGTATAATTTAACTGATTTCGGCATGGTAAGTTGGTACAAGGTTCTAGAATCGAGTGTTGATAGTTACAGTGTGATAAATTAACTTCAACGATGAATTAAGATCGAGTAAACTGATGTTATGGAACTAATTTCAACTTCAATGAGAAATTAGAATCGAGTAAATTGGTGCTATGAAGCTTTTTCATTGTGGACAAAGACTTGTTCTTAAAATATTATACTATGATTAAGGATCCTGAAATTAGATACCTTCCGCTGCGGATTTTGTTCCCTCTTGGTGATAACATTAGCCACTAATGAAAATGTTGATTACTATGTGATTTGATGTTTATTAAACATTTAAACGAAAATTAATAAAGCATCTTTGTTACTGATTAGACGTAACTTTGGCTAAATTCCTTTTGGCACTATTATCGATCATTACAGTGGTAGAGCTAGTATATGACTGTGTGAGATCGAGCATGTAGAACTTATAATTTTTTTTATATACATACAAAATTGTATATATTTTTTCAGTAAAGTAGACGTATTATCGGCCTTAAATATAAACCGCGATATATATAACATGTCTTCAAAATTAATTATGCATGTTAAAAAATCAAAGTTAACTACCCATTTATTTGAAGGCAAAAACTTTCACCAAGAATTCCCCTAATAAATGTTCTCGATACCAATTTAGATATTTCAAATTTGATCATAAAAAAGTTGATGGAAAATCAATTAAATAAAACCGTGTGCACCTCTACTACTTGTGTCACATAATTATATCATTCAAGAAGCTATGGGCGAATCCAATTTGGTCACTACAAAATGTCCCTTTTTGTCTCCCATTAATGGGGTCTTAATTTTGGTTATTTAATTCATACTTCAAACCCTAACAAAAAAAAAATCAACGGTTGTCAGATACTACACCTAATTATTTTACAATTTGATTCATTTCAACGGCAGATCTAATTAAAAACTAACTATTAAACACACATACATACGAGTTTGTATGTGATTATGTATACATTTACAGTCAAAATTCACCTAACATAAATAACCAAATGCAACATCTAATTGCTCGATTAATACCCCACCACCACTTTCAAAGATCCTCTCCCCAAATTATATACCAAAGCAACACTTTTGATTGGATGCAACACCCAAAATTGGAAACTCCTATGTATATATATTTGTCCACTTCCCAAATATATATATATATACTTATTAAAAAAATTGAATAATTAATTATACAAAATTATATAATAAGAATGCACATAAGGGGACAAGATCATGAACATAACCACATAGTTGAGGATGAAATCATCAGATTCCTCATTAGACGGCCGAGGTGGGTGATAATAATTATTTTTTAACATTTTTTAATAAATAAATAATTAAATAAATTAAAAATTATGTGACCCCCATGATTTGCAAATTGTCACTTTCTTGATAGTATCAAGGCCAACATTGCTATTTGGTATCAATTTTGTGACATATGACATTGTACATTGTTGTGCCACTCATTTGTTTGATTCCTCCACTAATTTTGTCCAACACATTTTCTTGTTTGTGTGTAAACATTCCAAAATAAAATAGTGTAAAATAATTATTAATCGTTGATCTGCACATATTCACATACATTTATATTTAACCGCATCAATTATAAAAAATCATCGGCTGTATATAACTTGGTGTAACATCTCAATAACCCAACACGTGAAATCATGTTCTTCACAATAACATGCAATAGTTTGTATTAAAAAAAATAATAATAACAAGAATAAGAAAAAGGAGAATATATAATACAATTAATTAGTTAATAAACAAACCATTTGACAAATTAAATACAAAAAAATGCAAATTTTCCCCACCACAAAGCAAAAGGTAAAAAAGAAATAGTAATTAATTAACTTGTCCTCCAACCAAAACTAATATAAAGTATATATGAGGTAAAATATGGGGCCCACCCATTTGCTCAATTTCATTTTAATAAAATTTAAATTTGGTGAAAGTGCTAACCAGGCAATATTTTCAAAGTGCCTACAATCCCTCGTGGCAAGGATTCTTACAATAATCAAAAAGTTATTGCATGTAATTTAGTACCCCAATTAAATAATAGTACATATATTAAAATGTTAGAGCAACTTCAATGGAGGAACTAAAACAAGTATCAAACTAATAAATTACGACTTTGATACTCCAAAATTAAAAAAATCCTCCTTCAATGGAGGCATTAAAGTAAAAATTATTTTGATACTCAACCACGTACCCGATGTGCAAAAATACTCCCTGGAAAATGAGGTATCAAAAATATAACCACTCCCGCAACCTATCACCATTCGACATGTGGCATTTAAAAATATATTTATTCATATATTTAAAATTTGATAATCTATTTGATACTTGTGGTTGGAGTGAATTTTTTTTCTAAAAGCATCAAAGTATTATATCAAGTATCAAATGAATGTTTAATGCTCCATTTTGATATCTCCCATTGGAGTTGCTCTTACATCCGATAAAATAAATCTTAGGTTATTAACCGTTGATCGATTATATAATAAAATAAATTGAGATGTTATATCTAATGAAATACATCGGTGGTTATTAACCGTCGATCGATCTTATAATAAAATAAGATAGATAGGAAAGAGAAAAATACTTTATATAAGCACTCAATTACGAGTTCCTTTCCAACATATCTCACACACACACACAAATAATAAACAAACAAGATGTTGGCCAAAGCTTGCCATCATCTCCTCCCAATAAAACTCCCCGCCACCACATCACCGCCCAAGCTACCGCCGCCAACGACGTACAACCCCTCACAACACACCACCATCTCCCGCGCCATATCGATAACCGCCCCGGCCCCGGCCCCCCGAAAAACGGTACAAGACACCAATGCGCCGCAAGACGACGCCGTCACGGCTTTCTGGGACTACCAATTCCTCTTCGTCTCCCAACGCGCGGAAACCGCCGAACCAATCCCCATCCGCCTCGTCGACGGCGCGCTTCCGTCGGACTTCCCCTCCGGCACCTACTACCTCACCGGACCCGGCCTATTCTCCGACGACCACGGCTCCACCGTCCACCCACTCGACGGCCACGGATACCTCCGCTCCTTCAAGATCGACGGCTCCTCCGGGAAGGTGGAGTTCATGGCGAGGTACATAGAGACGGAGGCGCAGGCGGAGGAGCGGGACCCCGCCACCGGCGAGTGGCGGTTCACCCACCGCGGCCCGTTCTCCGTCCTGAAGGGCGGGAAGATGGTGGGGAATACTAAAGTGATGAAGAACGTGGCGAACACGAGCGTCCTGCAGTGGGGCGGGAGGCTGTTCTGTTTGTGGGAAGGCGGCGATCCGTACGAGATTGATGCTCGTACGTTGGGTACTCTCGGCAAGTTTAATCTCGTCGGTGATCGGAATATTCCGCCGCCGGCGGAGTATGATGACGGTCGTGGAAGATTATTCCATGCTGATTTCTTGAAATTGGCAGCTAATATCTTGAAGCCAATACTATACGGTATGTACTTACATATAATATATATATATATATATATATATATCTTAACACTAATTTATGTATGTAATGAAATATGGTCTTTGATTAATGCATGCATGTTTTAGGATTTATTAAAAGCATATAATGGTAAAATTACAGTTTTCATCCCTTCAAATTTGCATCTATTTCACATTTGATCATTCATGTTCGTATAAAACACATTTGATCCCTCATGTTTCAATAATTTAAAAGTTTTGGTCATCTCCGTCAATTTACTGTTAGTCCGCCGGTTAAGATAGTGGTGAGCACATACTTGATTCTGTTAATTTTAACAGAAACTTGACGGAAAAGACTAAAAATGTTGATATTTCCAATTATGAGGGATTCAATGTGTATTTTGTGAATATTGGGGACTAAATATGAAATTGGTGCAAACTTGAATGATAAAAACTGTATTTTTCCCGGCATATAATTATATTTGTAGATGATCTTTATTTGTTTTATCTATTAAGAAAATTGCTTTAAATTAAAAAAAAAAATATTGGTTATGAATTTTATACACTGTTTAAGTATGTAATTTGAAAATTTGGGAATGAATGAATGAAAATAAATATTATGCAGGAGTGTTCAAGATGAGTCCTAAGAGGCTGTTGTCTCATTACAAGATTGATGTTAAACGAAATCGACTGTTGATCATGTCGTGCAATGCCGAAGATATGTTACTCCCTCGCAGTAACTTCACATTTTACGGTTCGTAAATAATTACATTTATTTTATTTTATTTTTTTGGTTATTTCGATGATAATTTTCGTTGTCTTTTTTTAATAATTATATCAGTATCGTTTTTCATACAATGTTAGTATATTGGTTATTTATATCGATTTTCACATGGATATCTTGATTGATGATAAATACTATTCAATAATTAATTTAATTCAAATTTCCGTAATTTAAAAAAAAATATTAATTTCAGAATTCGACTCCAACTTCAAGCTGCTACAAAGCCAAGAATTCAGCATCCCAGATCACTTGATGATCCATGATTGGGCCTTTACGGATTCACAATACATATTGTTCGGAAACAGGATCAAGCTAGATGTTGCAGGTGATTGTCAATCTTAGAGCATGTTTGATTAAGCTTATAAGCTCTTAAAAACACCTTATAAGATGTTTAAGAGCTTACAAGCTGTTAAGAGGTGTTTGGTAAAATTTTCAAGAAAGATCTTCATTTAAAAAAAAACTGTTTGGTGAATTTTTCAATATTTTTCCTGATTTACTATTTTTTTGGTCCCGGGGTGATAATATATATAAGATTTCGATTTTCCAAACACAATTCACTTATGAAAATTGTAATTATAAGAACAAAATGCACTCCACCCCTATAATTTTCCTATTTTTGCACTCCCCCCAAAAATTCAAAAATGGATACTCCCCAGTCCCCCTTCGAAATACTATTTTGGTTGCACTTTGCACCATAAACCAGTTTTTTTAGGGCATTGTGCAATAAAAATGACATTTTAAAGGGGCAACGTGCAACAATATTACTCAATTCCAACTAATAAACCATCAGAGTTTTGTTATCGGGCAATGTGCATTCACTTCTAGAAAAAATTGAGGGGTAAAGTGCGAATATTAGAAATTTAAAGGGAGTGATGTGCAATTTTCCCTAATTTGATTTGGAATTGTGCAGGTTCAATGGCAGCAGTATGTGGTCTATCACCCATGATATCAGCACTATCCCTGAATCCAAACAAACCCACTTCTCCAATCTATTTACTTCCAAGATTCCCAAACGCGCAACCAAACAGGTTTAGGGATTGGAGAATCCCAATTGAAGCCCCTTCACAAATGTGGGTACTTCACGTGGGAAATGCTTTTGAAGAGAGAGAAGATGATAATGGCAATCTTCATATTCAAATCCAAGCTAGTGGCTGCTCCTATCACTGGTTCAATTTCCAGAAAATG